TGTTATTAGCTTGTGTGAGGGAGAGCTGAGTGGTTATGGGTTCATTAAGTTCATGTGAGTTGGGCTTATGTAAGTGGTCAAGATGTTTCCTGTTTTCGAAGTACATCTCAGAGCAAACTTTGTATAGTTAAAACTTATTAGCATAGTTCTAAGAATTCTAGTTAAATCCTAAGTATGGTCAAAGATAAACTCCCTGTTCTTTTGTGAGGATCTTTGCAGGAACATTAGGTCAGACTTCCTGTTTTCCAGTGCAAGCTGTAGAGGGTTCCCGGAATAGAGGAGTGAGAAGGGTGGGGGCCCGATGGACGTCAAGACTGACAAAGTCCAGCTGTTGGGAAGTAGCTATATAGCTGATAAAGGAGTGAGCCTGGAAGAGAGAGGATGACCATGCTACCGTGAACAGTGTACCACAAGCCCGGCCTCGAAGGGCCGGGGGGAGACGACGACTGACTGGTGCTTCTGACAACCTTCTTATGCTTTATCTATTCCATTGCAAGAGGAGAGTCTCTGTTCTCTGATCCCTAACTACAAGATTATGTGTTTAAATACTACTCTATTCAGAATAACTGTAATATTAAATGATCCTTTAAATTGTAATGTTTGTCTGAATTAATTTAGTCGGTATCACACTCTAGCCACGACAGTTTCAAAAATGAAATTATGGCTCTTCAAAAGGGTGACAAACTTGAAAGAAATAGTCATATCATTAAACTGGATCCCGTGTTACAGGATGGGGTTTTGAGAGTAGGAGGAAGGTTGGGGCAGTCATCATTGCCCATTGAGGCTAAGCATCCAATAATACTTCCAAAAGACCATCATGTGTCTGCTTTGATTATACGTCATATTCACAAGGTTACAGGACACAGTGGAACGAACTACATACTCTCTAATTTAAGAGAGAGGTTTTGGATTCCCAAGGCAAATTCTGCTATCAGGAAAGTGTTGTCAAAGTGTGTAACATGCAGAAGGTTAGCAGCAAAACCTGGAAAACAGAAAATGGCAAACTTACCAAGTGATCGCCTCACAGGAGATAAGCCTCCATTCACCAATGTAGGAATAGATTACTTTGGTCCCTTTGAGGTTAAGGTCGGGCGTAGTCTAGTCAAGAGGTATGGTGTTGGAGGTGCAAGATACCTGAGCGTGTAATGTTAATTTTACCTGTGATCCTTTGAATAAATCAGCACTGTTTTGTAGTTACTTGGACTGTCTCGTCTCTCAGAGTTAGCATGGTAACAAGAACTGAGACCTACAATAGCACAAAATGTACCAACATGTTCTCCTTGACATTCCAAATACAGTATCTCCGCAGAGCAGTGATCTTAGTCATTGCAACATTGCATCATGCTGATTCAGGCTCAGGCATATCAGGAAACCGCTTCCTTATATGATCTGCTCTCCTTTCACACCCACATTTGTCCACACACACACACACACTTCACAATGTAATGACAAGAGCTCACAACTACCTGCCAAACCATACAAGCATCTGCCTCTGTGTATTAACTTGTTTGGTGTGTGTTGACATTCCTGCGTCACAGCACACGAGCATTCATTTCATTACCTGGAACATTTTATTTCACTGGTATTAGTTTGTTCTTGGCAGTGACAGAGTACAGTTTACACCCAGCATTGTCCGAGTGTGGATGTGTAGAGTGTATTGTGTGTGTTGATACTTGTGGTACAGACACAGCAGTCCGTGTGACAGTAGCCTTTGTACTTAGGCTTTTAATTGACTGTATTTTAAAGACTGTTTATGATTTGTTAAACAACAGATTCACATTTTGGTGAGAACATAGAGGCAGATTTGTCAAACTCAGACTGCTTAAGCTTCATACTAGTATAAATTTGCACTAAGCCAGGTCTGTGAATTTTGTCTTCTGCCTCCTTCACTGAAATTGTGTAAAGAAGAAATGATGATGCTGCAATTGTGGCCAGGGCTCGCTGACTGCAGTGGGATTACCCCTGCTTAACTATTGTTTATATAAAAAATGAAAATAATTTTGATAATAGATACTTTAAATATTTTTTAAGAAAAATGTAACATTCCCAGCATCTCTAATGGACAAATCTTCTTGCAGCTGAGTGTCAAGTTCATTTGAAGTGAAATTTATTGTAAACTTGTGGTTTCTTAAGGGTTCATTTGTGATGGCCTTTTGGCGCCATTGTATGAGACACAGGAAGTTGATTTTCTCTTTGTTTTATTCTATGAATAAACGAGTGGGCGGCTGAGCAACACGGTAATTTACCGTGAGTTGTCGCACCAGCTCAACACGTAAATATTCAGTCTCATGTCCGTTCATTACGTAGTTATTATAAGAACTGTAACAACGAAAGACATTTAAATACAAACTACAGATAACCATTACAACGGTCCTGATATTTATTAACAAATCCAATAAAAAGTCCAAAAGCAAACGACTCCGACTACCCTGCTCGGTCTATGGCCCAGTGGGTCCTACTGAAGTCGACAACTCAATAACGTCCTGGCTGCTTCACTTCAAATCAACTCTGATGTTTACAAAGGCAAAATTACAAAAGCTGTCCAAATATTTATGGACATGAATGTATCTACTACAGTATAACATTACATATATAAAGTGATGTATCCAAATAATCCAAGCCAAGTGCCCAAATAGCAATATAACGGGTGGGGCTGTATTAAGTGCCTTTGTGCTAGTCCTGTCTGACACCCTTCTGTTTCCACAGTAAAGAAAATGCCTCACTCTTCCACCCTGCTCGGTCTATGGCCTCCTTTCTGAGGGCAGAGGAAACTCCTTTCCTTTCAGATCTGATAAAATTGGCTGTTTTAAATTCCCCGTAGCCTGGCACGAGAGCACAGTACAACTTTATCTGATGCAGTGTTGGGCTTAATTAGTTCAGCGCTTGAAGCCGGCTGCTTACGAGCAAGAGGAGGTTGGGATTTGCCAGCAGCTGTGGCATGAGAAGGGCAAACATCCTGCTCTGGTTTCAGCAGAACAGAGACCTTTAGTGAGAGTTGTGTTAAACAATATATTTCCTGTTACCTTCTTGTTGTTCTCTGCCGAGGGGGCTGAGGATGGTCAGCTCGGGGCGGCTGGGTTTAAGACTGGGTGACTCGCAGGAGTTGAAGAAAGACTGGATGAAAGGCTCCAAGTTCTGTCCTTTCTAGGAAACAGAGTTTAATGTCTTCATCGCTGCCATCATGTTAAACTAGTTACACAGCTCTGTCAACACATGCTGAAGCTGAACACTGGGACGCGAGGGCTCCCAGGAACCTGTGTTCTGGTTTGCCTGGAGAAATACCTACAGTGCTGCAGAGTGTGTAGCTGATGTTTTTGTATCTGTATGTCAGCATCACTAAAAAGACCTACACCAGGATTTCAACTCAGGAGGAACTCACCTCTTTTATCAGCTTCCCTGGGACAGACTTGAAAATTTTCCCTGTAAAACAAACACTGAGTTAGCAAATCGTCATCTCAAGGAAGGAAAAGGTGAAGGAGCCTGTTGGCACAGGAACAGTGGTGAGAGAGCCGGCTCTTAGTTGGCAGGCTGGGTTCAGCCCGAGAGGTGACACCAAATCATCAGATAAAATTAAAACAGTGCAGCAGATTAGGGGTGTGACGATACACGATACTGGATCCATGAGAACGAGACCAGACCATATTTGGACATTTTTAAGAGAAAGTCTTTTATTCAGCTAAAAGACACAAAGTGCAAAACAGTGCAGGTGAATTTTTAAACGTTTTAACTAATCTGGTAACGAACGTCCCTTCAGTTCTACGTCCTGGGTGTGAATGATCACATGCAGTAAAACAAGGGGTAGCTACTGTCAAAGGTTCAGACACAGACTCTGCCGACCGGCTTCTCATTAGCATGAGCATTCACCGCTATTCACTGTCGAATTTGGGCCACAGTTAACGCACCACAGCGACACACTGGGCATTTTAGTTAGTACTTTGTCTTTCACATAATCATTTGTTGACAAAAATGGAAACATTTTGTCATAGTTCTGATTAACAAACATTACATTTTATTTAGTTTTAGTCTCATTTTCGTCAAAGTTTTTTGTCCCAGTTTTCGTTGATGAAATTAACACTGCACCTGGATTAATAACACTTCACAAAAAAAGGAATGTGTACTGGTACATACCGAGACTGACATCAGGGAGCGTCCTGTTCAGGAACCGAGACTCCATGTGAGGGGACAGGAAGTCTGCGAGCAGCTGACTGTTGCTGAGCTCTGGATGCTGCAGGAGCCTCTGAGCACAAACACACCAGGAGTTTGGTTCTTTTACTGATGATCCTCTTCACAATGTAAGCTTTAGTACAGGCTGAGTGCGAATACAAAAACAGTCTATACGTCTTGTACACATCTTTGGAATACACCTGAGGACTACAAACTCAGATGGACATTTGCTCTAGAAGAAAAACCTTTACATGTGCAACTTAAATCCTGTGTGTGTGTAAAATCTTCAGAGTTGAAGTACTGGTGTACTAACCCCATACTTTACCTTCCAATACTGCCCTCTAGTGTTAAAACAGAAGTACTACTGCACATGTTTACTCAGTTCATTAATTCAGCCGTTTCCTTCTCAGCACCAGATGCAAAGACAACAGCAAACAAATCAACTGCTACATATATTCCTATTAAAGTCCAGGATGAGTACCTGTAAATATTCCTCAAACTCTTCCATTTTTGATGCCAGAAACTCATAGTTCTTTGGTCCAATGATTCTTTTAGATGGAAGCTGTGCATCTGTAAATGTGCCTAGAAAAAAAAACCTTGGAAATAAAAACTCGTATGCTCACGGAGAAGATGCAAGGGAACAAGACAAACAACAACCCTGGATCAATATTTTACACAGCTACGAGGTCACGCTGTCAGTCGACTGTCGCACTGAACTAATTAGAGCAGTTTTACCGTGGAACTCCGTGAGTTTGGATTCGAGCACGTAGAACTCCAGGTATCTTCTGACCACTGACCACTTCTCAGTTTCATGACCAGCTGCAAAAAAAGAGAAGAACAAAGAAGGAAATCATGACAAGTGCACATCAGGGACTTTCAGCTGCAGCACAGCTATGAACTGGACAAATGACAGGAATCTGTGTCAACTTGTCTACTTTAATGCTTGTTTACTAAGTGAACCGTCCCTCCGTGCTCACTCGCCTTCCTTCCTGTCATTGCGTTCCACATCGATGCAGAAGACGGGGATTTTCTCCCTCTTGGCCTCATCGTCAGAGAAGTCAATGAAAGGGATGGTGATGCTCCAGGCCAACAGGTTCCTCTGGGTGCCCGGTGTGGCGGCCAGCTCAACAGGGGAATCGTCCTCCGTCACCATGGTCGCCTCCTCCACCTGCAGGGACAAGAACAACCACGCCAAAGAACAAACACCAAGAAAACCTGTGGTGACATCACTTTAAGTTAAGGGCAGGTCAGTTATTTTGAGACAACAAAATAGGTCATTTTTATTTTTAACACAATGAACAGAACATACTGAACCAGCTCATGTGGAAAACTGACTCTGGTTATTTGTTGTATTTTGTTTACATTTGAAATGTATGGATGTTTTTGCAGGGCTGGATGGCCAGCTAGAGCACAGATGGTTGGAGGAGTCGTGGAGCTAAATGGTCAGTAAAGACAGGTAGGGCTGTCCCCAGTGGCAATGTTTGGGCTCTGGATTAGTGGTAAATATCGGAATATTCACCCAAAGTACTGCCCATTAAAACAAGATCATTTGACTTTACCGTCTCCTGTCCATACGTTTCCTGAGCACCAATCATTGTGACTTAACCTGTGATACGATGGCTGCGTTAACATCGCCACACTCACCACGTCGTCGTCCATGTCGCCTGAGGCACTGGCTGGCAGTACAGCGCCCTCCATGGTCTGGCTCTTGAACACACCCTTGATTTTGCTGCTGATTTTGCTGATCCCGGATGACTCCCCTCGTTTAGATGCATTTCTAGGTTGAACAAAGAAACAGGTTTTTCTGAGGAGTTTTATGCGTCTAATCTGCATCAAAGCTACACAGCCTCATACATCACATCTCATCTGCTCAGTCCGACTGCTGTGCAGGAGAAACAGTCCGTCTTCCTTCACTCCACTGATTAGAATGTTTCATTACACGCCATGACAGCTGGCACAGTGCATCACGCATGCAGCAGAAGAAGACCGACTGAGAACCGGCCACAGCAGCATGTCCATGAGAAAACTCATTTCTAATGTTTAACTGAAGGCGCCTGGCAAAGAACCTGATCGATCCAACCGGGCCACGCAGGGCTTCACTTACTGCCACTGCTATTTTAAAAGTCAGACTTTTACTACAAGCTAATCGATACCAATGATCCAGTAATTGCCCAACTACCTGCTGTGATGTTCCCTATAAACCCTACAGATCCTCTGACGTGGACAGAATGAACTGGAACACCTCACTACAGCCTCTCTGTCCAGCAGCCAAAGTAAAGATCACAATCTGAGCATATTTCAAATGATTCTGATGGCAGATGGTTGTGTTTGAAGACAAGAGATGTTTTTGATCATTTGCATTTCATGTATAAATGATGGTGAAGCTAATGCCGACGATTATTATGGGGGGACAGTTTTACATTTTCATTTCCTATACTTTATACTTCAAAAAACTAAAGGCACTTTAGTGGATATGTTAAATACTGCAGTGTT